GCAGCCTGCTATTATAACAGGTATCGAGAGGTTGATGGATTAGCCTGGAAACTACATCAGCTCTCATGAGGCGTGTAATCTCCAGGTGCATATATCTGTAGACCCTCCGTTACCACGACTCAAATTACTTTTCAGGGAATTAACTTCAGTGGGATGGGGTTGCTGACATTTCCCACAAATTTCTCCTGTTGCACCCAAGTTGTCAGAACTGTCATTGTCATTCCCCATTGGTTATCATTAATCATGCCAGGCTTTTATACCGGAGCATCTTGAGGCATCCACTGCACAGCGGATGGAATTATAAATGTTTTATTTCAAATAACCCCCAAGTTTGATCTTAACCTTTGAAGCTCAAAGGATTTTTCTCTAGACCAGTTGAATTGAATCATATACCTAGAGAAACTAAATTGCACTGAGCTCTGCCTCCCAATGAAATTACATGCCTGTGGATCTCAAGACATTTTTTATTCCATAGTCATAACACTACAATTGCATTTCTTGCCCTTGGGTGTGCCTTTGAGAAAGTAACAGGTTTGTTGACAATATTTTCACATTTCATTTTCTTAGAAAATGGCAGAACCGTGAGTTAAAGATTCTATAACCATTTTCCTAAAATGACGTTTCTATTTAATAGGGCACTCAAAGAAAATATTGCCTGACTCTCCGTCTTTACCTCATCACTCACATCTCTGTGTGGTCAGTTCCTGCCTGTGACCGCACTGGTTGGAGAGGAAAATAACTCGGAGCAACTAGGGTCTGTGGCCCTTGGCAGAGAGTGGACTTCCTCCCAGGCCAAGTTCCCAGGCAGTCAACATCATGCCAGATGCTAAATAAGTGCTAATTAGTGGCCGCTCGGTTCAGCTGCTGAAGTAATTCATCCTTTCCGGCCTCTTGCTTATACTTTCCTGACCATTTCTGACCCTTCACGCCAAACTACATTCACCTGCCCTTTGCATCCCCACTCAGGGCGTCTTGCCACGGCCCCCTCCCCCTCCAGCAGCTCCAGGCAGACATGTTTCCCTTCATCCCCTTCCTCTAGGATCTGATTTTAAGTCAGTGCTACCAGCTTCCCTTTGTCTTACATTTCAGTGACACAAATCAACAAACTTATCTCTCTATTGGTTCTTTAAAATGTGAGGTATAATAACAAATTCTTTCTGTGCTATAATGATAATGTGATTCAGCTCAATAAACCTGCAATGTGTTTACTAATTCTGTGTTTGTCTGACATGCAGGAGATCCAGTCTCGTCATAACAACCAAGCTCTACTGGGGTGGAAAGTAAGTTAAACACCTTTTATTTTCCCTACTGGAGAAGAAACAACTAGTGAATCATGCTTGGATCCATTGTAGCAACTATTTGACATCTAACTTATACTACAATTAATTGGCTTAGAGAGATGGATTTTTTTTTTCTTATGCTAAGAAAATAGCAGTTAGCCCAGGATTCAGTTTTAGCAAGATACTCCCAAAGAAGTTTCAGTGTGGCCACTTGTTACTAAATGATTGTGTAGATTTCTCATATATCAGTATCATACTTACAATGATTTCCAAAATAGAGTTCAGATTTCAGGAAAAGAAAATAAGTGCAAAGCATCACAGAAGAAAGTCTACTCAAATCTGCCAAACCTCAGAGACTTTTGCAGGATACACAGATAAAAATATCTTGTCTGGCTCCATTAAGTCTCTGATCATTTCTGCAAAGGGCTCCTAAAGTGCTGATCAAAGTGACTACGTCACTGGAGAATAACAGGGAGCTCTACCTGTATCACTCACTGTCCAACCAATGAAAGAGAAGTCCTCTCTCTGCTGTAAGATGCAGAACAAATTTCACAGGATGAGTTGGCTTCTGATGGGCCCACCTGCTAGTGTTTGAACTGGTACTTACATTATTCAGCAAGAACCAGAAGGCTGGCCTTTTTGACAAACATGTCAGAAAACTGCAAGCTATTCCATATGCCAGAGCAATGGTTGGCACTGTGTTTTGCATGGAAATCTCAAAGAATGCTACAGTCTTAACAAAAATAGAAGCAAATAAGCAAATCTTATTTACTTCCTTATAATTGATAAGGAATAGTATAAAAAAGCAGAGAACTATTTTTAGAAGTCTTCTAATTACAATATAATGTGTACACACACACACATACTGATATTTTATAGTTTTTCTTGAGGCTCTTAGTGATGATTATGAAGACAGAAGGATGGAATTTAGATTTTTACTCCTAGTATAAAAACATAAGGCACCATGGTACCTAGAAGAAATAAGGATTTCCACTGTGTGCCCTCTGACTCACTGTGGCATTGCTTGGTACTTTTGCAATGGTGCAAAAAACCATGCCCACAACATATGAATAAACAGGAAATGAACCAAGCAGCAAGCAGAGTGCTACACGCAATATTATCTAACATATTTATGAAAGATACAGAATATAGACATATTCACTAAGTGAATGGTGAGCTGCTATATTTTCAGTAGAGGTTGCCAAATGTATTGATGTTGAGAAAAACATTTCTTCTATACTTTAAAATTCAATAATTGTACTTCTTTCTAAATGTTCAGACTTTGAGAAGTGTCAGGGAGACCAAGAGTACCATAACTGAGGTGTTTGACTTCTGAGGGTAGTAATTTAAGAAAAACTTGGTTCATCACATTTTAGGGGAAAATATTGCTAATTTCCTTGGAAGTCAAAGGCACTTTCCAATTGGCTTCCTTTCTCAGATAAATTAATGCATTCAGCAGGCTGCCATCATAGAGTAAACTCACAAACTTATATAAGACTTTTTTTCTCCTTAGACTGGGTAAAAACAAGTGAGATGGTTGACAGATGTGTCAAAGTGTTTTCGGAGAGGGTGCGTGTGGGTGAGTTATTAACCTGCACCAAGAGCTGAGTGATATTAATGGCCTGGTGACCATGGTGATTAATTCATCTCCTGGGTCTCTAAAAAAAGGGGGACTGCTCAGAATGTTGCCCGCCCACCCCCTCTCCTCAGCATCCAGTGGTATGGAATTTGCCAGCAATAGGCTATTAAACGAGCAATTCAGACTAAGTAAGAATGATAATTATTCTGCATTTTGAGACAGAACTTTTTAAAAAGCACACCCTCACTCAAAGTCATTTATCTCCTTTTCTTTGCAGAGCTGAAACAGAAAGAGGGCTGTCAAGAAAGCATATTATTGAAGGTGGGTACTGGTGTTTCAATCTGTGGGCTCCTGGATATCAGTTAAAGAGTAGGTGTAAAGCACATTGAAAGTGGGAAATTTCTAAATGAAAATAACCACCGTTAAGCATGACTATTCCTCAGGTTAAGTGTGGGGAGCACACAGATGTAGGGAGACTGGGGCCACAGAATGAAAGGGTCAGCTGTCTAAACTTTGCTCATGTACAGCTACTATTACTGAAATAAAG